ATAGGAGGAGCCGCAGCATCTGGCTTCAGAAGGGTTGGACAACTGCAGCTTCTGAAGACATTTCACTGGCTGTGAGGAGACACTCAAGGACCCACACCAATCATTCCGAAAACCTGTCCTTTGAAGAGTTAGTGATGGCTTCCCAGCACCATTCTGCTGCAATAAAATGTTGGGTCTGGAGCTCATGGTTCTGCCTGAAAGGGGTGGCATTCTGGGGCCCCACCCCTTCAAGCTGTGGAATAATTAGCCAGGGAAGCTCCCATGGACCTAGCATGGAAAGGCTTTTCTGCCTTGTGTTCCACTTTCTCTACAAGCTTATGAGCCAAACAGTACAAGTATCATTTGTTCCATTTAACAGAAGAGGAAGCTGAGGTTCCAAGAGGGGTGATGGCTTCCTCATGGGGCATTGTATTCTAGTCTCAACTTGAGCAGCTACATCTTCTTTTCTTCTGTACCCACTCCACTCTCCTGATTCCCTCATGATCAAAGCAACAAGAACAACTTGTTCTTGTCATCCAGGAGATGGAGAGCAAAAGAGAGAAGAGACAGTAGGAATGGACACAAAAGTACTACCCCCACCCCCCAAAGAGACAAAAAGCAGTAATGAGAAAAATTGCAGTTCAAACAACCTGGAAGCTTCACCTTTTACTTCAGGGCTCTCATTGCCAGAGGGAGTTACCCTGCTCAGCTCAGACTATGACCCCTGGTTTGAGCTTATTTTGCCAGGGACAGTCCTTAAACTGGCCTGCACATAATCCCAGGCCATTCTCCTCCAGCTGTACAGAGTCCTGCTGTGGTGGGTAAATTGTGCCTGGCCCCAAATAAGAGAGATGGCAGAAACGATCCTCTTTAGAGGGGCCATGGGAAGAGAGAAGCATAGGTACACTGTGGGTAAAGCCATGCTCTGGTCCCTCCATTTTAAAAAGTAATTGGAAAATGCTGTTCATATATATATGCCCCTTGATGCTGGGATATCATTTTGATCCCAAGGATGTCAAAGACAAAGTAAAGAATTTTAATTCTAATGAACAGCATTGCTGGAATATTTCAAAATTAGTTGTCTCTATTCATTGAGATCATCGACTGGCCATTTGATACAAATTAGAAGAAAGGGTCAAGATGAAAAAGTGATAGTGGTTATAGCAGCTATAGCCTGTTGTGATTAAATGAGTTATCAACTCACCCAAATGAGAAATGGTCATTTCAGTCATCCAGTTAACAAGCATGTGTTACACAGTGCTATGTACTAGGCACTGTGCTAGGCAGTGGACATATGTAATTCCTCAAAAGTTTAATTAATACAAAAGAGTTGCCCCAAAGAGAAGGCCAAAGAGCCTAGAAATAACATCAGGTGGAAAACATGGTCTCTGCCAAAAAGAGAGCTATTATGGCTAAGATAAACTTAAGCTTTGAATACAATTGCCCAAAAATTAAGGAGGAGAAGGATAGAAGATGAAGACCAGTACTGCTTCACAAAACGATGCAAAGCAGTTGAAGAGAAAATAAATGTGTAGGTTGTTTGACATGAAGTCTAAACCAGATCATCCTAAAAGCATTTGTCTATGGAACTGCAAGAGTGACAACGAATAGATATGAAATAGAACTACCAATATTTGTATTTTCATTAACAGCAATACTGGAACATTTAGGTTTATTCAGCTCAGTATCTACTATTCTCTGTTAAGCAAGTGCAATTGTACTTCACAAGTCTAATTCAGGATGAGTTGTTAGATCTGACCAGATGCCTACAGGGGGAAAAAAAATCTATGACGAAGCACAATTGTAAAGGTAGTTCAGAACCATTTTTAAAGGTATTTGGAGGAAAGGAAGATTCCAAAAGAGTGGGAAAGATGGCTCCCTAATGAAATAAAAATATATGAATGTTAAAGAGTAATAGATTATTCACTGAGCGGAGATTTCAAAAGATGTGTGTAGTATCTTTTTGAGCCTTCACTTCTGAATGTTAAATTTTCTAATAGTATTTTGATAATTACCCTCTATGACTGAGTATCTGGTCTCTGGGTTGTTGTGGCTGATGAAAGGCAAAATATTCTAGTGGATATTGTGCTGAAATCCCACCCCCAACACATACTAGTCTTATGGCCTTTACCTCTCTAATCCTCAGTGTCCTCATGTATGCAATGATGAGCTTTGACTTGATAACCTCTAAGGTCCATCCCAGCTCTAAATCTATGATCCTATGATTATAATTTTGCATTAACTCATCATCCCCCTGTAGGAGTCCACTAACCTTCATCTTACAGGCTTCAGTAGGTGTCTTTCATAAAGATATTCACTACAACATTGCCTCTCTTCTTAGCCAGTTTCCCTCCAAGATGATCTTCTGGAAACTCTATCATTTAGGATTGTCCTCAAGTAAACATGATCTGTTTATCTTGATTTTACAAACAGAGCACCTGGGAGTCTCTCCTGGTCACAACCAAGGAGCAGGGTTTCCTCTGGTTTCTTAATAGTTCTAGCTAGGGGTGGTCCTAATTTGTTTACCACACAATTTGATTGGTAGTTCATTCCATATACTACTGATAAAGTTGTTTATAAAATCTTACCATTGGTGATCTATCCTATCAGAGGATCTACATATACTTATCAGTTGTCTGCAAGCATACCTATGATGATCATACCACACAATTGTTTATGAGATTGATAATAACCAATAGGAAAACAACTTAATATCACAAGATGGAGCAAATCAAAATGGAGTCAGCTATGACAAGTTGACAAACTTATTTCTACTCTCTTTTTAAGTTAATAAAATTATTCTCTCTATGTATTTCTTAAGAGTTTGCCTTCTGTTTCCCTATTCTCCATAAGGCTGATTTTCTAAGACAAATATGTTTAACCATTATATTTTTGTTGTATGTGTTGTATTACTCAAATACATTAGAGAAAAGACAGTGGGAAAATATCTAGGGATACAAGTGGGGGAAAGGAAGGAGGAGGAGAAGGTAAAGAGTTAGAGAGAAAGATTTCATAACTGTTATATATTGATCAGGGCAATTTCTTCTAGTGTTGTTTTGAGCTGAACAAAAGAAAATTGATTCTTTTTTTGTTAATTTTCTGAGCAAGGAGAACAAACAAAGAAACCATGAACTAAGCTCCTTCTAGACAATCAATCAGTTATGTTGTTGTTGTTTTTTGGGAGGACAAAAGAAGGGAAAGGTTGTAAGTGAGACTGCAATGGAAAGCATCACCATAGTCATTTTTGTCTGCCTATTATTCCCTGAGAACACTCTGAAAGAATAGCACATCCTCCCAAATTGATATTGGTGGCGAAAGTATCACTTAGCCGTATCCATGGGAAAAAAATCTGATGCTTACAAATTGTTTTCAGATCCTTTTTCTTGAAAGGCAATGAGGCTTACAGAGGTCTGCGAAAAGGACAATTAACAAGCTCTGAGAAGACATTTCAAGTAGTAGTCCAGGTCAAGCCAGAGTTCTGAAGGTAACTAAATTCTAGGGCTAGGACACTCAAAGATGCTTTTAGAACAATGGTGCAAAGGTGGAAGTAAACATAGACTAAGTAGGAAAGTGAAACACACAACAAGGGAGGAATAGGTAGTGTCAAACTGAGGCTTCATCTTAAAGAATTTCTCTACCTGTGACACTTTTTATGGCAGTGGGATGCTCCTCCCACCCCCAATCTTCAGTATACTGTGGAGCATGGGATGTTACTATTTTATTTACATTTATGGGATACATGCTATATAGCTCTAACATCAGAGTTGCATCCTCTCTTTCTTCCTTCCTTCCTTTCTTTCTTCCCTCCTTCCTTCCTTCCTTTCTCTTTCTTTCTTTCTTTCTTTCTTTCTTTCTTTCTTTCTTTCTTTCTTTCTTTCTTTCTTTCTTTCTTTCTTTCTTTCTTTCTTTCTTTCTTTCTTTCTTCCTTCCTTCCCCTTTTTTTTTCCTTTTTGACTAGGCAATGCGGTTAAGTAACTTGCTCAAGGTCACAATGCTAGTAAGCATCAAGTTTCTGAGTCCGGATTTGAACTCAGGTCCTCCTGACTCCAGGGCAGGTGCTCTATCCACTGTGCCACCTAGCTGCCCCTGCAAGGCTTTTCTATCTCCAGTTTCTGTGACTGTACTATCAACTTTCCTCTGCCTCCTCAGGATGTTGTTTTTTTTTCTTTTCGTATTCCATTTTGGATTATCTTCTGGGCTGTCTATGAAGCCTTCTCTAATAAGCCAAAATGTAGGTAGAGGTACTGCCTCTCTCCCTCTTTATCTTCTTCCTTAGTGGAAGGATCAGCCTGTATTTATAGCACATGCAATTGATGAGTGCCAATAGCAAGAAGATAAATACAGCAAATACTCTGTAGGGGAGAACCTGTTCCTTTGACTATACCTCTTGGATGCCAAAGTGAGCCAGTTTCCCATGCCTTTTAGTCATGCACCAGTTTCTTGAAACCCTGCCTTTAATCCAATTTAGCTGCATTCTCCTTCCTCCCTAGCCTTTATTGGTGCACCAAGATGTTAGAAATCAGCAGCAGGCACTTGTAAGTGTTAGCGCAGTCTTCTCCAGCAAAGACAAAATTAAAGTAAAAACAAATGTGACAGTAAGCTCCTCCTCATCTTAAAATAAAAAAAAATTCCCGATTTATCAGTTAGATATGAATAATTAATAAATTTGCCTATTTTATTTAATATCTCATCAAGCAGAAAACATAGCACAACCTTCAAAGACAGATAAAGCATTACAGTAAATTTAGTGGTTTCTAGAGAATCTGAAACAGCTAACAATTTGGGGGACAGTGGTATGAATATAAAGAAATAAAGGTTTTAATAAGGAACTATACAAATATATTTACATATACATATGTTTATACACACATAGCACATATCAAAACTTACACATTCTCTAATACATTAGATTTTTTCACATTTATATATATAATGGAAAACCATTAATATATTATATAAACATAGTTCATTTCATAAATGAACATTATCTCATCCTTTAAAGCATGTAATTTTTCTGTATCCTGATTTAACATTCTTGAGGATTCGTTTGTAGATGCTATTGGAGAAGTCCTTCAAGATCTAGATACAAGCTTATCAGTAGCTGGCAGAAAAAGGAAGGAGAAAAATACAATTTATATTATTTATATACATATGTATGTATGTATATATATGTACATACAAATATATATGGTTATATATATATATTTGTATGTATACACACACATATATATGTGTGTAACTTTTTTTTCTCTTTGGCCAAATGATTCATCATGTTAAGGAATTATGGGTGTGAGAAGCATGAAAGTGGTCACTGGTCCAACTTAGAATTTCCCGAGCATTGTAAAGTTAAGTGACTTCCCCATGGTTTCATAGGCCCTATGTATCACAGAGAGGACTTGAAATCATGTTTTCCTGGAAGACACCTACCATACAGGAGAGTTGTTTTGAAACTCAAATCAGATAACGTATGCAAAACACTTTGCAAAGTTTAAAATGCTTTAATAATGTCAGTCACTATTATTATACTTATGATGTATTTGATTTTGGAGCAACTCATCAAATTGTTTATATGTTTCTCTTTCATCCTCTGTAGTAGACATTGGTATATAAGGTGCAATTATAATTATGTTCATGGTGGTCTGTTTGCTTATGTTCATGTTGAGCTCCATTTCCTATTTAATTATGTTTAGTATTGCCTTTGGGCTCAAAATGAAACCAGCCATGCCAATTATTTTATTTGCTTATTTGAGGAAAATGTGAACCATACTTCCATTTAGCTACAACTTCTTTCTATTTTTCGGTTAAATTGATAGCAAGGGTGTCAATATGAATATTATTTTGTTTTGTCAGTACTGTTGGTTACTGGACAAAGACTGTCAATTAAGATTCTAATAGTTAAACTGGTATTTTGAATTACGGGATTCTTACTATCTTTTGCCGCCTTTCCTGTCACTCTCCTGAAATCACTATACAATCATAGAATTAAACAGAATAATAGAATCTCAACCTTGGACCTGACTTCAGTGGCTCTCTGGCCCAAACAGTTCTTCAACAGCAATCTTCTTGATTGCATTCCCCCAAAGTGGTTGACTAGCTTCCTATCTAAAGATCAGAAGGAACTACACAGGACTGAGTACCACTTATCCTGCTGTTTCACGGGAGGCTGTGGCCAAAGACTTCATTACCTACTGAGCAGCCTTCTGGATGTAAACCTCTCTGTAAGTGCCTGGGCTTGTCTTCTGGAAACAGGCATAGCCTACCTCTGGGCTTAGGCTATCTTTCTAGCTCATTAGAAAGAACCTGCTAGCTCTTGTACTTCTCTGCCGTAGAAGAATCCAAGGTTCCTTTAAAGTGATGAAGAGGAGGAAGGTGATACTGAAACAGCATCTTTGCAGGAGTTTTTCAGCATATTTGGAAGTCAGGTATAACATCAAATTACAGCATTTTATTTATGAACAATTTGGACATACCTTCATTAACTTCCCTATCTATGCTTTATTCCAGCTCCTGTTGCATCTGAAATAACATTAAAATACAGTTTAGAACAATGAAGAAAATGAGGGATAAGGAACTCAAGATAATATACACAGCTCAACAAACCTTTTTAAAAATTACAGACGCCAAAGAAATTGCTAATAAATTTAGACATCAGTTTATTTGAGTTTAGCCATTCAACAGCAAATCTATTAGTCTAATAAAATTATGCTAATATTAACAGAATCAAGTACTTATCACAATTAATTATACATAAAGAGATGTGAACTTTGTTAGCATAGTAGTCATGTCTCCGGTTTTGAATATAGTTTTCTTCTAGTCCAAGCAAATCTTATCCTTTCTGTTTCCATTTTTATCAACGTAACATTTTTCTCCAGAAATAAAATTAATTTTATGTCACATACTTTAAAAGAATTAATTTCAAATATTAATACTTTCTTAAGCTACAGTCTAAACGCAAAATGAACATCAACTTTTAGTGAGCAAAACAAGACAGAAAGTGCCTAGAAATGATTAAACACAGTACAAAAATTCCTGTTGCAATTGAAATATTTCTTAATCCAGACAGAAACTGATTTCATTTGAGTTTCTAAGTCCACACTTCAGATTTTAGTAACAAAGCTAAGAGAAATCCTGCTTCCTACTCTAACTTGTAAAGAAAAAGAAAAGAGACCGGTGCCAGTTTTCCAGTTCTCATAACAACTTCATAGAAGTGGTAAGAGAAGATGAATTGGGAGAGCACTCTTGATAAAGATTAAAGTTGAATAGTTTCCCTTTCAGAAGACAGATAAAAGCTTCCTTCCTTCCTTTTTTCCTGAAGTCAAATGGCTCCAAAGGGCTGGGCTCAAGATGGATGGGGTTCTTTCTGGTGAGTCAGACCTTAACATCTGAGTCTGTCCTCTTCCTCTCAGTCTTGGCTGGTTAGGAGAGTTGAGGATTGGGGTTCATGATTGTTTGCATGGTGAGCTCCTTCAGGGGCAAGGCCTTTTAGTCTTCTCTTGGTGTGGACCTTAGACAGTGCCTTGGACATCACAGCACATGCTATATGCCTGTTGACTTAATTTTCTGTTCATTAGGGTTAGAACCTGAGTTTGGGAGTTGACAGCCCTAAGAGAAGACTGTTTGGCCTGTAGGGCAAAGCTTGCAAAGCTTGGAATCCCATAGGGCTGAGTTAGAACACCGCCTCGGGCCCTTGCTAGCTTTATGACCTCATCTTTAATCCTCAATATCCTCACCTCCAGGGTTCTAGTTAGGGCCAACCTTAAAGTGACCTCTGCTATTGCGCCCCCTCTGCTGCCTTGCTGCCTCGGGGTACCGCCAGCTATCAACCAGCCTAGAAACAGGGCCATCCTTTGCAGGCCACAGCTGCCCTGACAGATGACCTCCAATCGAGTCTCCTTCCTAGAGCCTTCGAGGCCCCAGCGGCCCAGCCAAGCCCAGCCCAGCCCAGCCTAGCCCAGCTTACCTGGGCTTTCTTGGAAAGCAGCAGAAGACAATGCATAGGGCTCCTCAGCTAGGGTCTCAGCCCAGGAATCAGGGAAGGCACCCCTCCCATGGCTCCTGGGGGCCTGCAGTGCATCTGAGAAGAGCCTTGGGGCCAGGCTGAGCCAGAGTGGTGGAAATGTTCCATAGCAAGGCTCCAGCTGTCCCCAGCACCCTGCTGTGGCCCACACACCCTATGCCCGGCTTTGCGCTGGGTCTGCCGTGGGTGCAGCTGGTCTACCCTTGGGTCCAGTCCTTCCAGACAATTCTAGTCCAGTTGGTCTCTACCCTCCACACCCAAGGCCATCTGAACGTGAATGACAAAGGTTCTTCCAGAGACAAGTAAGATGATCTGATGATCCCATCTCTTTGAGGCCTTGACACATTTTGCTGTGATCCACACAGTCAAAGGCTTTAGTGTAGTCAATGAAGCAGAAGCAGATGCTTTTCTGGAACTCTCTTGTTTTCTGCATAATCCAGCGAATGTTGGCAATTTGATCTCTATTTCCTCTCCTCTGCAAAAACCAGTCTGCTCTTCTGATAATTCTTGGTTCATGTATTGCTGAAGCCTCTTGTAAGCATAACCTTGCTGCTATGTGAGATGAGCATAATTGTTCAGTAATTGGAACAATTTTTGGCATTGCCGTTCTTTAGGATTGGGATGTAAATTGATCTTTTCCAATCCAGTAGCCACTGTTGAGTTCCAAATTTTTTTGGAATAGTGAGTACAGCACTTTAACAGCATCAACTTTTAGGATCTGAAGTAGATCAGCTGAAATTCTGTCACTTCCATTAGCCTTTTTATTAGCAATGCTTCCTAAGGCCTGCTTGACTTTATTTTCCGGGATGTCTGGCTCTAGATCAGTAACCACACCACAGTAGTTATCAGAGATGTCAAGATCTTTATTGGATAGTTCTTCTGTGTACTCTTGCTTTCCCCCCCAATATTTTTAAACCTGGAAGATTAATATTCTTCATTCCCCATTTTGGTATATCCCAATCATAACTATTCCTCTGGACTGTCCTACATCTTCAAAGGCATTTGATGCTCCAATGTTTTAGTTTCTAGGAAAGAAGGAACCTATGTGCATGGCCCTGTATTGAACTATCCTCTGGGGTAGCTAAGCAGCCAGGTTTTTTCTGATGAGTCTCACTAGGCCTTACTTAAAAATATGCATATAAAGAAGATGTGGAGATTGTTCTACTTTATTAAAAAATTAAAGCTTACATGATACTGTTCATAATCCTTTGTCTTCAAAGTGCAAAGCTCTGATCTTATTGAAGTTTGCCACAAGCAGTATGTGGAAATTTTTCTTATACTGTGCTATGAAAACTTGTCTGTTGGAACTGTCCCAAATGGCAGTTGAATTTGTTGAATCTGATCACACCACAGAAAGAGCTTCTTACTAAATGGAAGATCTGAATATCCTTTTGCTAAACATTTTCAGTTATAAAACCAGCTCCAGGGCAGGGAACTTGGCCCTTCTGTTGAAGTAGCAATGGGTATGAATATGTTTTGGGGTCACAGAATGCTACAAGACTGAGACACTGGTTAAGTGCCATGATGATCACAGAAAAGGCAGAGAGGTCCTCAATACCACAGGCAGAAGCAGGATCCAGATCAGTCTAACATGGTGGCAAGTCAGGAAGCCTTTCTGAGAGAGAAGGTACAAGTAAGCTACTGGTGTCTTTGTAAACACTAGGGCCTACAAAGAAGGATGTCTTCATAAGAGTGGCTAATTTTTCCAGCCTGTTAGCAGAAGTACTTGTCTAAGGCCTCACTGTACCATGGAGCCGACTCTGGAATCTTGAAAGCTTATACCCATGGTGCATACTATCTGCCAGGTTCTACCATAATCAAAAAGCTTCAAGTATTCTGAAAAAAGACTGAGGTGCTGTTTAACATTGAAGTTCCCTTGTAATCTGGCCTTAGCATACCTTTGTTGGCTTACTGTATATCACTTCCTTTCACACACTCTTAAGTTCCAACAAATTGGCCTATCTGCTATTCCTTATAAAAGATATTGCATCTAGGCAAAGCCAAGATGGCTGAGTGAAAGCATGGACTCACCTGGGCTCTCCCCTGAATCTCTTCAAATACCTCTAAAAAGTGACTCTGAATAAAGTCTAGAATGGCAGAAATTACAATGAGACAGATTGAGGCAGGTTTCCAGCCCAAGGCAACCTTGAAGGTGGACAGGACAGGTCTTTTGCACTGACCTGAGAGAGGAGTGTCCAGCACTCAGGGTGCAGCACAGATCTGGCCTAAGCAAAGCCAGAGCAGGCTTTGTGGACTGAATCACGAGCAGCAGTGGTACTTTGCAGTCTTCTCAACCCACAGACTCCAGAGACAGCTTAAAAGGTCAGTGGGAGGGGTCTATCAGAAAAAACCCCAAAATAGTAGAAAGGCTAGAAAGCAGAAAGACTAGGTATAGCAGTCTTTTAGCTCCTGAAGGCTAGGGGAAATAATAGCAAAGATCCCTCTTGCTGTGACTGAAGAGGACTAGTACAGGAAGGAAGGCATCTCAGAAAGCTAGTGGCAAGCCACACCTCAACAAACCAGTAACCAGGCCCCTAGTCCCTAGCACAAGAAGCCTGGAACAGTTTCCCCTGTGCCCCAGAAGCAGAGATCAACTTTAAAAGCTAGTAAAAAGTCAAACAACATGAGCAGAAAGCAACATAGAAAAACAATGACCATGGAGAAATATCTCAGTGACAGGGGAGATCAAAACACAAATTCAAAACACTGTCAATATACCCAATGTGAAACTCAGAAGGGAATATGAACTGGTCTTAAGCCCAAAAAGCCTTCTTGGAAGAGCTCAAGAAGGATTTTATAAGTCATAAACAATTCCTTTCAAAATACAGTTGACAAAATGGAAAAAGAAAGTACACTGAAGAAAACAACTCTATAAACAGTAAAATGGGCCAAAGAGAAAAGGAGGTAGAAAAGCTAAGTGATGAAAACAACTCATTAAAATTAGAATTGGGCAACTGGAAGTTAATGACTCTATAAGACATCAAGAATCAGTCAAACATAATCAAAAGAATGAAAAAAAAATAGAAGAAAATACAAAGTACCTCATAGGAAAAACTGACCTGGAAAATAGAGATAACTTAAGAATTATTAGTCTACCTGAAAGCCATGATGAAAAAAAGAGCCTGGACAGCATCTTTCAGGAGATCATCAAGGAAAACTGCCCTGAGGCCCTAGAAAGAGGGTAAAAGAGTCATTAAAAGAATCCACCTATCACCTCCTGAAAGAGATCCCAAATTGAAAATGCCAAAGAATTTTGTAGCCAAATTCCAGAATTAACAGGACAAGGAGAAAATACTGCAAGCAGCCAAAGAATCAATTCAAATATCATGGAACCACAGTCAGGATTACACAGGACCTCGCAGCTTTTACATTAAAAGATCGAAGGGCTTGAATATTATATTCTGTAAGGCAAAAGAGCTTGGATTAAAACCAAGTGTCCACTACCCAGAAAAACTGAGCATAAGATTCAGGAGAGGAGACATTCATTCAATGAAATAGGGGACTTTCAGACTTTGTGATGAAAAGCCAGAGCTCAATGGAAATTTTGATCTTCAATATAAGACTCAAGAGAGACCTAAGAAGGTAAACAGGACAGAAAAAAACAACACATTATTAATAAGGGCAAACTGTTTACATCCCGACAAAGGAAGATGGCACCTGTAACTCTTAAAAATTGTAGCTTTATTATGGTATTTAAAAGGTATATACAATGACGGAGGGGATGGGTTTAAGTTGACTTTGATGTGATGATAAAAAACCTGATGAAGTGGTGAAAAGTAATTGTAATGGGAGAAGAGGAAAGGAGGAGGCAGAAAAGGGTAAATTACATCACATGAAGAGGAGATAGAGAGGCACAAAGACATATTACATTAGAGGGAAAGAAGGGAGGGAGATGAGCATTGTTTGAACTTTACTCTCATCGAATTTGGCTCAAGGAGGGAAATAACATAATCTGTCATGCATAGAAAACTAACTTGTCATATAGGCAAGCACTGCTGTTTATTAGAATTAAAATTCTTCACTTTGTCTTTGTTCGCTTTGGGATCTAAGTGGTATCCCATCATAGAGCGTATATATGAACAGCATTTTCAAAATGCAGTTTGAAATAGAGGGAACAGGTCCTGGCTTCACCCATAGTGTTTCTGTGCTTCTTTCTTCCCATGGTCCCAGCCCTTCTAAAGCCAGATGCTGTGGCTCCTAGGGGGTCAGGCCAGGCTAGGCTGCCCAGAGAATGGTCCTCCCTGGCTATGTAGTGCCCAGGTCTAGGGCTCTGAGGCAGCTCTGATCTTACAGGGAGTGAGAACTCTGGGAGGCCACTGGTCTTTTGTTGTTGGCAGCTCAGTCAGGGCAACCAGAGCCCCTGCTCTAAGCTCTTGGGCCCCCTCGCAGCCTGGCTAGGTTGTGGGGCTCATTCTGGACAATCTCAGGAAGGAATGAGGAAACCCTATATTTACCCCAGTGTTCAGTGACAGATGCTGTCATCCTCCAAGGCTTTGGCTTGGCTGCCTGGCTTGGGAGAACTTCACGACCTTGGAATATTCCAGCAGATGGTATCTAGCAACCTTCAGGGTTCCAGTAACAGAAGGCCAGCTACTGGCCATCCATGTAAGATGCCTGTGGCAGTTTTTTTTTCTATTTTTTTAATTTCAGGTAAGCTAGTTGGTGGATGTATGTTACCCACACCAGGAAGTCTGTTGTCCTTGCAGGCTATGAAACCTTTGCCTTCTGACTTTTGCAGTGGCAAGCCACAGTACAATAGCAGGCATGCCATCTCTGCCCTCTCTAAGACCTACTGTGCCTGCGTCAAACAGCAGGAAGAGGTAGGTAGTCTTCCCTGAGCAGTTCTCTGGGCAGAAAATGAGGGCTCAGGAGGTGGTTTTGTCTTGTCCAGCATGTGACCATGAAGCAAGGGGACTGGTTTTCAGGTGTGTGGCAGATGGATAAGGACTCGGCAGGCACTGGAGTGGAGTCTGTGTTCATTTTAGGATTCTAGTTTGCTGTTGCCTGTTTGGTTTCTTTTAAGTATTTCCTGAAGATGGGAGATAATTTAGCTTCCCTCCAATAATGATGCCGACATTAATCCTAGGAGGAAAACTCATTTCCAAAGTAAATCAGTTTGCTATAGTAAATGTACCAGGGCAGAAAGTTGTTCTTGTCCTTTGGAAAGAATCAGTGATCCCAAGGTTTACTCTGATGCCAGTTGTTAGGGCCACTCTTAATTTTTTATAATATTCATGATATTCTAAAGCTTTTCATGAAGTAAATGCAATATGACCTGCTGGAAACCACAAAGACAAAAACCGATCTGAAAGTTTCTCGACATCCCTTGTCTCTGCCTTCTACCTGGCAGCTGTTATTGTCCCACCTCTGAGCAGGACCTGCTCTTGCTCTGGGCCTTGCCCGGATAGGTGAGAAACTGAAGTCTGCCTATGACAAGATGTCATCCATTCCATCGCTAGGTCTTTCTTCAGCCTTGGTCTCTTTCTTCTCCTTCTCTCCCTTGCTAGCATTTTGATTGGTGACCTCCACCTCCCATTCACTCCCTTTCTCATCTCCCACCCTTCAGATATTCCTCATCTGCTCACTTTGTGTTCCCTTGGTGTCAGCACTGGGTTCTAAGGTGCAAAAGCATCATATGCCCCAAATGGCTGGTCTCGGAAAACTCTGTTGAGGGCTGGAGGCTTGAGAAACTGTCGGAATTCACAATGGATCATGAGTCCACAGGGCTGGCTCCTGTGCACCTGTTCATTGAGGTTTAAAAAAAGCAACACACAGAAAGACAAGATTCTGAATATGCATTGCTTCAACCGTACTGAACAACGCCACTGTGGTCCAGCCTTGGATAGACGCTCATGTGAGTTCCTAGACATCCCACTAAGTATTGGATGGGTCTTTAGGGTGCTCCATAAGGCATGTGTCCTTCCAAAAAGGCAGCCCCGGAGCTCTCCATGTCAGATGTGTTCTGGCCAGGAGATTAGCACTGTCTAATGCTACCCCTGTATCATGGACACTGTCTGTCTCTCCATTCCTCTCTCTCTGTCTCTCTCTCTCTCTCTCTCTCTCTCTCTCTCTCTCTCTCTCTCTCCCTATCTCTCTCATCTCTGTCTTTCTGTCTCAGTGTCTGTGTGTCTGTCTCTTTTTGTTCTCTCTCCTTTTCTGTCTCTGTCTTCCTTCCTCTCTCTCTCTTGTCTCCATCTCTTTGTCTTTCTCTCTGTCTCCTCCTCTCTTTCTATCTCTCTGTTTCTGTGCTCTCTCTCCTCTTTCTCTCTCTGTCCTGTCTCTCTGTAACTCTGTTTCTCTCTTTCTCTCTCTGTTTCTATGTCTCTGTCTCTTTCTCTCTGTCTCTGTCTTTACCTCTCTGTATCTGTCTCTGCCTCTGGATTCAGCCCCAAAGGCCCCCTCCTTTTCTGGGCTGCCATATCACACTTGGCTCCTATGGAATTTGCAGTCGACTAAAGTCCTCCAGCGTCTCAGGGGAACTGCAGCTCACATATCCTACACCATCCTGTCTTGTCGATGTGGCTTTATCCTCACATAAGTAGATTTGACTTCTGGCTAAAGTATTCTGCCATCCCACACCCCTTTGACCATCCTATCCTGCTCCCTTCAGGTAACTGACCTGTAGGGCTCTCACTCCCAAGATTGTTTCCAGGATCCAGTGAGATAATGAGCTAAAAAGCAGTTATTAAGGGCTTGTTCACTGCAGTGCTCAGCCCCTGGGATACAAAGGAAGGCAAAACCCTAGTCTCTGGCTTTCCAGGATTTCCCAGTCTAATGCCAGTGACCAAGCATGTCCAGTATGTGTATAATGCAAAGGAAGGAGGCCTTGGGTTCAGTAGGGCCCTTAGTGGCCTCCTAACATGGGTGAGCTGGGAGCAGAGTCTTGAAGGAGACCAGGGATGCTGGAGTCTTTGGTGGAGAAGGAGTTCCCAAGAAGCTTGGGAATCTGAAAAGGGCCCAGCACCAGTTTTAGGATGGTCATTTCATTACCTTGACAGTGGCATTTGATCCCTCAGGCCTGACCACAAAGCCCCTTGCCTGGGTCCCCCATCTCCTGCATGGTCTTTTCTACAAGAGCCAGTGTGGGCCACTTGGGTGTTCTGTATACCTGCCCAGGTGGGGTACTCACCTTCAAACTTTGAGGCCTCCTTAATGTAAGCACAGCCCAAGGTCCCTGCCTTTATCCTCTGGCACCTTGAATTTCAGGTTAGGTGCCTGGGGACTCATCCCCTCAAGCTTCCATTCCTCCCCTCCCTGCTCCAGCTACCAGTTCGGTCAGACCTTGCCTGAATGTGATGAGACCTTACTTGCTATGATGGACGTAAGTACTCATGTCTGAGAGAGCTTCTTTTGGATTCCAAGAGTGGAGTGTGCGCAACCTGTTAAGGGACTCTATGAGAGTCTTGGGGCAGCTTTGGATAATCTCCTGTAGATGATGGGGGACCCCAGTAAAGAAGAAAGGTTCCAGTCATCATTTCTGTCATTCAGGAGCCCAGCGAAGCAGCAAGGGCCTGTCAGGAGCTGCAGGAGGGGTCTAGGTTGCTTTGAGGTCAGTAAGCTCCGTACAGAACCTTCAGACAAGTGGACCCTGAGTCCTCTGATAGCTCTGTTAGCAAGTGGCCATCTCTCAGTGAGAGCAGAGTCTCTGTCAATCTAAGATGCTCCTAGACAAGCAAGGAATCCGAGCAGAACCTCATAGCCTAGTTCCAGGCTCCTGAGAGCAGCATCAACCTTTCGAGGATGCTGATCCAGCCAACCTCCTCCAAGATGCCCACCCCCACTGCCCCTGCTTCCAGAAACATCTAAGTTTCTGGATTACCTGGCAGGCCCTGAGAATGTTCTTTAGTATGTGATCAAAATCTAAGTGTTCTTCTGCCCAGAGGATGGTCAGGTATTCCTAGGGAGCACAGAAAAGGAGACAGACATTCAACAAAATCCAGAGAACTTTTCAGGCTGTGGCAATCCCAGAGTACTGCTTCACCTCAAGACTTCCCTGCCCTTCATGGGCGCTATAGGATCAAACCTAGAGAGGCTGGTCCTGGTAACCTGGTCTTATCAGGAGAACAGGTGGGCAGCTCCTGCTTTCACCTCACCTTGATGTGGACAGTGGTGTCTCTTCGAAGTCCTCTTTCCAGGAGGCTTGCCATCAGCTCACTAGGCCCTCCAGGACAGCCAAATTGTCCTCGTGGCTCTACTCCCATTCCCCATCATATATATGTCTGCCCAGTGCAGCCCCTTTATTTTTCTGTTTAGGTCACTCAGTCACCCTTTTCCACACTGGTTCATCAGGGATTTTTTTTATGACTTTCTTCTGTACTATTATTATTATTAATTAGGCAAAGCTTAAAGGAAAATTGGTCTCAAGGACTGTGAAATCAGTTGGAACAGTGAATATTTGATTCTGACAGGCCTGGGGGAGTCCTCACTAACCTGATTAAGACAAAGATGGCCTGCAGGGAGGCAGCTGTGGTCAGGTGGTACCAGGTATTTTCGAAGCAGCAGTGGAACATGCCAAAGAGCCAACCTGTAAATGTCCCAGCAGAGGAATTCAGAGACTTCACCCTGCAAGTCCATCATGTCCCAGAGCTAGCCTGCTCCCAGCCTGTCAACTCTGCAGCCCCTTCTTGCTATTCTAGTCTCAGATCCTCCCAAAGTTCTCTAGCTGTGCATACAGATCCTTCTGTAACAAGCCCATCTTCACGCAGTGTCCTAGAGTTATTCCACCCATGCCTATTGTGCCCCTGCATAGGAATTAGGAAGCTCTTTTAGGTAAAAAACTCAAAATCCTATCAAAGTGAATTGTAAAACAAAAAATAAATAAATATATGTTAAAAAATAGACATTCCTCGGTAGGGTAACTGTATTCCACTCAAACCAATGTCATGGAAACAATTACTGGGAAGCATCAACTAACCAGGTGAATTTAATTCTTGGGGGAAGTAAAATTGATTCTATGTGGCTTGGCAGAAGATGGCTGTAAATAATCCAAAATTACAGAAAAATCATTTAGAAATGAAGTTCATAGGTAAAAATATACTCCTAGAAGCCTACTTTTTTTAGGATTTGAAATGCTAAAAAGTGAAATAGTAAATCACAGTTCTTTAGGCAAGAGAAGACTAAAGTAGCACAAAGCCTAAACTACTCCCTTCAGGTGTTTGTGGAATAAGTTCCACTGATTAGAGGAGAAATTCAAAGCACTTGTTACCAAGACACCTGCTAGATTCTACCCTGCAAGAAAGCAGGAAAAACAGGCAGTGAATTCTGTCACCACATGAATTTATCATTTATTTTGCATACCTATACTCAAAAAGATTGCAAGGTAACAAATTGAGCAAAACATCTACCTATGAAGCAAGAAAGCAGGAAAAACAGGCAGTGAATTCTGTCACCACATGAATTTATCATTTATTTTGCATACCTATACTCAAAAAGATTGCAAGGTAACAAATTGAGCAAAACATCTACCTATGAAGATTTCAGAATGGTAACTCTATATGCTTCTTCATATCTTTCTTTACCTAGCTTTCCTTTTAGGGGGAGCTGGGCTGCACACTGCTTCCGGATGTTTTGTTTTTCTCCTTCAATCACAGCCCTGAACCGTGTCTTAGGGCCACTTCCAGGTCCAGCTGTATCATCTGTTTTGGAAAGTGTCTTTTCCAAATTGGAGGATCCTGTCTGATCTCCTCAGTGGCAAGGACTGGCAAGGAGAATTTCCATGAAATTTCATCTTCTTCACACTTCTGTGAGTCTGAGATGTTCCAGAAGTACTGGGACATTCACTATCACAAGCATCTGAAAAGGAAATATTGGAGTTTAATACCACATCAGTTTTACCCACCTGACACATTATTCAGTTTTTTCACAGGATGTGACTCAAATTACCACCTAGCTGTATGACTTTGGTGTGTGTATTGATGCATCCTGTGTTTTATCTCTTCTGCAACATGAGGAAGAAAACCAACAACTGGTTTCTTTCTTTTATTTGTCCTATCCTCTTTTTCTATGATTACCTGCTTTTACGCCCTCATCAACATTTATCTCAGTGTGTTCTCTCAAAGAATTTATTAGTATGATCCCTGGGGAACGGCTTTCCTTTTTTGGAAACCTTTTAAAATTAACATGCACATTTGACTTTTCAAATTATCTGGGAATACGAAATAGAGTCTCAACCTCTGATTTTTAACCCATGATTTCTTTTTTTTTTTAATTTTTAAAAAAATTTACTAATTTATTTTGATTGATCAACAATCACTTCCATATGCTTTTGAGTTTAAAATTTTTCTCCCCCTTCCTCCCCACTACCCTCCCCAAGATGGCACATAATTTGATACACAATATACGTTTACATTCCTATTAAAAAATATTTTCACATTAGTGAAGTTGTAAGTACAAATTAAAACCAATAGGAGGAACCATCAGAAAGAGGAAACAAAACTCAATAGAAGAGAAAAAAATGATAGTGATTCAACTTCCATATTTCTTTTTTTGGATGTGGATAGCATTTTTCATCCCAAGGACTCTGGAGATGTCTTAGATCCTTGTAATGCTGAGAAAGGTTAAGTTTATGAACATTAGTCATCACACAACGTGGCTATTATTGTCTACAAAGTTCTCTTGGTTCTGCTCACTTCACTCAGCATCAGACAATACAAGTCTTTCCATAACCTGTGATTTCTTTATGTAGAACTCTCAGGTGAGGAAACTCCCTCTAATAATGTACACTGGTACCTTCTCTGCAACTTATATTCTAAGAGAGTTGCCTTGGGCACTTCGAGGTTGTGTGAATGGCCCAGGGTCACATAGCCAGTGCATGTCAGAAATGAGACGTGAAACTGTCTTTTTTGGCTTTCAGGAAAGCTCTCTTTCCACCAAGCTAAAATATTTTCGCACGGAAAATGCTTATGACTAGGATACTGTGAGTGTCCCAATGGCTGTGACTATAATTGCAATGCCCCCCCCCTTTTTTTTTTTGCTAATGTGAACTACTTTAATTTGAATCAAATATAGTTTATTTTTTTCTCAGAATAATCTAACTTCTTGAAGATTAATCTTTTAACTTTCAAGATGCATTACAAATTTAGCATGAAAATCACGGTTTATAGAATTTAAGTATTTGCTTTTAAAACATGAAAAATCTCCTTTTATATAACTTTCTTGAAATGGTTTAGTCCAAGGTTATCAAAGGTATATTAACTGCTAAATTTGATACCGTTTTTGCTAGTGTACATCTTTCTAGAATTCACATAGCCTCAGATACTGTTGAACTCCTGTGCGTCATGGATAACACATTTTGATAGTCTTTGCTGGTCATCTAGTCCAATCTCTTGAGTTCACTAGAATGTGGTCGCAACAGGTTGTACCTGACTGTCTTCACATATTGATAGGATTACTAGACTGACTGATCAGGAGATTATTCCTTGTCATTATATTTTATATGTATTTCAACAGATGAATTGCCAAATTCCCTCACATGATCTTTGTGGACAAAATTAAGATCAGATCATTCATATTTTGAGATTAACATCAGGGGTGAGAAAAGGATGCCGGTTATCATCACTATTATTTTATAGTGGACTAGTAAGGTTAGCTTGAGCAATAAGAAAATAAATTGAAGGAATTAGAAGAGGCAATGAGGAAAGAACTCTTTCACTCTTTGCAGTGATATAGAGAACCCTAGGAAATCAACTGAAAAGCTACCTGAAACAACTAACAATTTTAACAAAGTGGTAGGCTATAAGATAACTCCACATAAACACTCAGCATTCCTAAATATTACCAACTAAGTTCAACAGCAAAGGATAGAAACAGAAATTCCATTCAGAAAGACTGTAAACAATACAATATAATCGGGTATCTACCAGCCGAGACAAATTCAGGAACACCATGAACACAAGTACAAAACACTTTCCACGCAAATAAAGTTACATCGAAACAACTGGAAAAATGTCAATTGCTCACGGGTAGGCCCAGCAAACATAATAAAAATGACACTTCTACCTCAATTCGTTTACTTCTACAGGGCCATGTCAGTCAAACTACCAAAAAATTATTTGATTGAGCTAAAAACAAATAACACCCAAATTCATCTGGAAGAACAAATAGTCAAGAATATCAAAAGAATGAATGGAAAAAGGATGAAGGAAGGGGGCCTAGCTGTACTAGATCAAAAACTATTTCCTAAAGTGGCAATCATGAAACTATTTAGTCCTGGCTGAGAGAGAGAGAGTGGTGGGTCTGAGGAATAGATAAGGCACAGAAGCAAGGGATTAAACAAGAAAATAGTGTGGCTGAAACCAGGCATAGACCAACATCTTACTTTGCATATCAAGATAAAGTCAAAATGGGTACATGATTTAGACACAAAGAGTGATACTAGAAACCAGTGAAGAGGAAGAAAGAATAGTTTCCCTATCCTATATGTGGAGAAGGGAAGAATTCATGAGGAAACAAGAGATGGACAACATTGTAAAGTGCAAAATGGATAATGTACATAATATACATTGAATTAAATTGAAAAGGCTTCGCACAAACAAAACCAATGGTATGAGGATTAGAAGGGAAGTAGGCAGCTGGGAAACAATTTTTATAGCCAATGTCTTGGATAAAAGCCTCATTTTCAAATATGTAAAGAACTGAGTCACATTTATAAGGATCCAAGTCATTCACAAATTTAGAAATGGTCAAAATATATGAGGAGGTGCTTTTCAGTTGAAGAAATTAAAGCTCTCTCTACTCATATGAAAAAAATACTCTAAATCACTATTGACCAGAGAAAACCACATTAAAACAACTCTGAGGTACCACCTCACACATACCAGACTGGCTAACATGACAAAACAGGAAAACTATAAATGTGGGAGATGATATGGGAAAATCAGAACACTCATGCATTGTTGGTTGAGGTGTGAATTGATCCAACCATTCCGGAGAGATATTTGGAACCATGCCCAAAGGGTGATCAAATTGTGCATACCCTATTACCCAGCAATGCCATGGCTAGGTCTGCATCCCAAAGAGATCATAAAAATTGGGAAAGGACCTACATGTATAAAAATATTTAGAACAGTGCTTTTGGGGGCAGCAAAAATGGGAAATTTAGGGGATGCTCATGAATTAGAGAATGGCTGAACACGTTGTGGTATATTAATGTAATGGAATACTGTTGTTCCTTAAGAAATGATGAGCAGGCAGACTTCAGGAAAACCAGAAAACACTTTCATGAATTGATGCTGAAGGATGTGAGAAGAACCCAGACAAATTTTAACACTTCAACAGTATTGTTCTTTGATCACCAACATTCCTAGACTTAGCTCTTTTCAGCAATGCAAGGATCTAAGACAATTCCAAAGAATCATGATTGCAAAATGCTACCAGTATCCAAAGAAACAATTATAGAGTCTGAATGCAGATCAAAGCACACTATTTTCACTCTTTTCTGTATCTTTTTTCTCATAGTTTTTTTTCCTTCCATTCTAATTTTCTTTACAACATGTCTAGTGGGGAAATTTGTTCAATACGATTCTCCATGAATGTACCATATCAGATTGCGAAATGTAAAATTCAAAATCCTATGAAAGTGAATTGTAAAACAAAAAATAAATAAATATGTATTAAAAAATAGACATTCCCTGGTAGGGTAGCTGTATTCCATTCAAACCAATGTCATGGAAACAATTACCAGGAAGCATCAACTAACCAGATGAATTTAATTCTTGGGGGAAGTAAAATCGATTATATGTGGCTGCAGATATTGTGGCTTTCACAGCAGAAAAAATCAGCAGAAGAGAAAAACTTGAATCTAGAATGGTATATCTGATCAAAGAAATGAAAGAATAACTGATTGAAAATGCAAATGCAAGGAAGTGAAGGACAATCACAGAAGAGAAGCAAAAAGAAATTATGTTAAAAAGAAAACAAAGGTCTCTATATAAGCAAAACATATTAATCTTGAAGATATAATCTTAGGATTATGGGTCTTTCAGAAGAAAATAACCAGTCAAAAAACATGAATCATAATGCAAGAAATAATACCAAAAAAGGCTTCAAACTTCTGAACACATTAAACAAAATGGAATTCAAAATAATCTACAGATCTCCAAGTGGTAGAATTTAAAAACTTCAACGACTGTCAACAAATTCTGTAAGTGGCCAGGAGAAAAAAACTTCAAATAAGGAAAGGAAATTCAAATAACACAAGACTATTCTGAATCTGCCAGAAATGGAATGAAAGAAAGAAAGAATGTGTTAAAAAGAGCAAAAGAGCAAAAGAGCTCAAGACACAACCCAGGTGACATAACCTGCAAATCTGAGTCTAATCATCAATGAAAAAATAAGGGTATTGAATTAAAAGGGACATTTGAAGCATTCCTAAAAAGGAAAACAGATATGCACAGATTATTTGCTTTGCATATCTTCCAGACAACAGAAATAAAAGTAGGCAAATATAGCAAACAAGGAAGATATGGATAGCAAAATAAATTACTCCAGAAAAAAAAGAAAAAAAATCTTATGGGGCTTACAAACACCACTACCGACAACAACAAAAATAAAAAACAAAGGGACCATTGAGAGGTTTCTTTCTAAAAGGATATAAGGAGACAAAGGTGAAATCAGAAATTAGTAAAAGTGATGGTGGAGGAACAAACCTGAAATGCCATATGCTAAACTTCACAACACCCAGGGACACAATATTGGGAAACCATGTCATGACTGAGAGTTGTATAGTGGATAGAAGGGTAGACTAAGAATTATAACTTGTCTTCAAATACTGCATCAGACACTAATTGTCTGATGGGCAAGTCAATCTCTGTCTGCCTCAATTTCTTCATCTGTAAAACGGGAAAACTAATATTACCTATCTTGTATGGTTGTTGTGAGGATCAAGTCAGATGATATATGTAAAGTGCTATGTTTAAAGCAGTCAGTTAATTAAATGCCTACTATGTGTCAGAAATTGTATTAAGTGCCAAGGATACATAAAGAGGCAAAAGACAGTTACTATCCTCAAGGAACTCATAATCTAATGAGAGACAGCATGCAAACTAATATATACAAACAAGCTATGTACAGTATAAAGAAGGAATAAAAGACAGGAGGCTCTAGAATTAAGAGCAATTGAGAAAGTTTTCCTGAAGAAGATGAAATTTAATTTGACTTAAAGGAAGCCTGGAAAACCAGGGGGCAGAGATGAAGAGAGAGAGTAGCCCAGGTATGAAGGACAGCCAAAGAGAACACTCAGAGCCAAGAGATTGAGTGTCTTGTTCTTGGAACAGCCAGTGACACTGAATTGAAGAATATGTGGTGAGGAGTAAGATGCCAGAAGACTGGAAAGGCTATAAGAAATGATGAGCAGGATGCTCTCAGAAAAACCTGGTAAGATTTACATAAACTGATTCAAAGTGAAATGAGCAGAACCAGTACACAGTACTGTACACAGTAAAAATAATACTGTGTGATGATCAACTGTGAATGATTTAACTCAGGGGTGGGGATACTGCAACCTCAAGGCCACATGTGGCCTTCTAGGTCCTCAGGTGTGACCCTGTGACTGAATCCAAACTTCGCAGAACAAATCCTTTTATTAAGGGGATTTGTTCTGTGAAGTTTGGATTCAGTCAAAGGGCTGCACCTGAGGATCTAGAGGGCCACGTGTGGCCTCAAGATGCAGATTCCCCACCCCTCAGCAATACAATGATCCAAGACGATTCTGAAGGACTTATGGTGAAAAATGCTATCCATCTCCAGAGAAAGAACTGATGGAGTCTGAATGCAGATCAAAGCATGTGTTTTCTTTGTTTTCTTTATCTTTCTTGGTTTTGTATTTGTTTGTTTTCTTTCACAACATGACTAACAGGGAAACATGATTTGCAGTACTACATGCTATCAAATTGCTTGCCTTCTCAGTGAAGGGGGAGGAAGAGAATTGAGAACTCAAAATAAAAAAAATGAGGTAAGATTGTTTTTGCATGTAATTGGGGAGAAATAAAATATTAAGTCATTTTTTTAAATTCAAAAAAGAATAAGAGGTCAAGAATATCAAGGGAATTAATGAAAAGAAAATGAAAGCTGGAAGTCTAACAGTCAAACTATACAAGCAAAATGGTAAATGACCATGACCATGATTGCACCAAGACTCACTATTTGACAAAAACTGCTGGAAAAACTGGAAAGCAGTGTGGAATAATCTTGGCATAGACCAACATCTCATACTATATACCAAGATAAGGTCAAAATGGGTCTATGATTTAGACATAAAGGGTGATATAAGCAAATTAGAGGAGCATGGAAAAATTTTACCTATCAGATACGTGGATAAGGGAAGAGTACAGAACCAATAAGAAATGAGGAGAATCATGGAAAGTAAAATGGATAATTTTAATTAAATTAAAAAGGTTTTGTACAAACAATACCAATTCAGCCAAAATTAGAAGGAAAGCAGGAAACTTGAAAAAATTTTATAGAAAGTTTCTCTGATAAAGATCTCATTTCTCAAACATATAGGGAACTAAGACAAAATTATGAAAATAAGAGTCATCACCCAGTTGATAGTCAAAAGAAAGGAACAAGCAGTTTTCAGAAGAAGAAATCAAAGGTATCAGTAGTCATATGGAAAAATGCTCTAAATCATTAATAATTAGAGAAATGCAAATTAAAACACCTCTGAAGTACTATCTTACACCCAATAGAATGGCTAATGTGCCAGAAAAAGAAAATGATGAGTGCTAAGGATGTGGAAAAATAAGTACTTTAATGAATTATTGGTGGAATAGTGAACTGATCCAACCATTCTGGAGAACAATTTGGAACTATACCGAAAGGGTTATAAAACTGTATATATCCTTTGACTCAGCAGTATCAATACTAGATTTGTATCCCAAAGAGATCAAAGGAAAAAGACCCATATGTACAAAAATATTTCTAGCAAATCTTTTTGTAGTGGCAAAGGATTAGAATTTGAGGAATAACCATCAATTGGGGAATAGCTGAACAAGTTCTGGCATGTGATTGTGATGGAATACTATTGTGCTGTTCAGAAATGAGGGAAAGGAAACCTGAAAAAATTTACATGAACTGATGCATAGTGAAGTGAACAATGTGGTGAACATTGAAGTGAACCAGGAGAATACTGTACACAGTAATAGCAAAATTGTTTGATGAAGAACTGTGAATGACTTAGCTATTCTCAGCAATACAATAATCCAAGACAATCCCAAAATACTAATGATGACACATACCATCTGCCTCCAAAGAAAAAAACTGTTATTGTTTGAATGCAGACTGAAGCATGCTATTTTTCACTTTCTTTCATTTTTTTCTTTTGTTTGAGTCTTCTTATACAAAATGACCTATATGGAAATGCTTTGCATGCTTGCCTGTGAATAACCTATACTAGACTGCTTAGCATCTCGGAAAAGGGAGACAGGAGGGAAGGATAGAATTTGGAATTCAAGACTTTAAATAAAAATGTTTAAAAATTAAAAAAAAAAGAAAGAAAGAAGGAGGGTGATGCTTTCAGAAAAACCTGGGAAGACTTATATGGATTGATGCAAAGTGAAGTGAGCAGAACCAGGAGAATGTTTTTCACAGTAACAGCAATATTGTAACAATTATTAATTGTGAAAGTTTAGCTACTCTGATCATGATCACAGTTCCAAAGGACTCATGATTGAAAAATGCTATGTATATTCCTAAAGAACCGATGAACTCAGAATGCAGATTTTTTTCCACTTTCTTTATTTTTCCTACTTTTTTTTTCCTTTTTTTGCAACATGGCAGCTAGATAGCATAATAGATAGAATGCTGGGCTTACAGTCACTCATTTTCCTGAGTTCAAATCTGGCTTCAGACACTTAATAGCTGTGTGACACTGAGCAAGTCACTTAACCCTATTTGCCTCAGTTTCCTCAGCTGTAAAATGAGTTGGAGAAGGAAATGGAAAACCACTCCAGTGTCTTTGCCAAGAAAACCCCAAACGGGATCACGAGGAGCCAGACATGACAAATGACTAAACAACAAGTAATATGGAAATATGTTTTGCATGACTTCACATGTATAATAGGCATCATATTGCTTACATTCTCAGCGAGTGGTAGAGGGACTGAAAGGAGGGCAAGAACTTGAAATAGAAATTTTAAAAAATGAATAGTAAAAATTTTTTTTAAAACTTTTTAAAAGGCTACAGAAGAATTAAGTAGATTGAAGACTGATAAAAGGTCCTTGGATTTTGAAATTAAGAGATAATTGGTAACTTTGGAGAGAGCAGTTTTTGATGAAATATGAGGTCTGAAGCCAAACTCCAGAGTTTAGAATATAAATTAAAAAGTATTCTCTTTGGCATTCAAAATCCTTAAAAACCTGCTCCTTTCCCAGTCTTCTTATACTTCACATACACACTCACACCTTCACTTACTCTGGGATTCAATGACAGTGGGCCTCCTTGCTGTTCCTCATTTAAGACACTCTGTCTTCCCCCCTGGCCATTTTAATTGACTTCCCCATGTGTGGAATTATTTTCTGCTTCATTGCTACCTCCTTTCTTCCCTGACTTCCTTTGAATTCCAGTTAAAATCTTACCTCCTGAAAGCAAGCTTTTTCCAATATTCTCTTAATACTAATGCCTTCTCTGTGTTATCTTCAATTTATCTTGTTTTATATATATACATGTATATACACACACATATATATACATACATATATATATCTTGTACAGTTACTGTATATAGTAACTGCATATAATGTGTGTACATATACATATATGTCTATAGGTATGTATATGTACCTGTACATATATACGTGTATACACACACACACATGCACGCACACACACAGTAACTATACAAGATTCAATTTGGGAACTATTGCTCAACATTTTGTAAGGAGGCCCAACCTGCAGGTTTTGCTTAGGGGACCAAAATTTGCAGTTTCACTAATGGCTTTTCCAGTTTCTTCTAAGCTAGCTGAACGCCAGCCAGGATACTGGCTTTAAATGTTTAGCAAAGAGCCTTAATCAGTCACTGTGTAACATCAGAGGATAGAGATTCAAGGGGTGAAGAGATCTGGAGCTAGGAAAACGAGAGGAGAATTCCTAGAGAGTCCCGGAAATAACTGATGCTTTAGCAAGGATTGGTTGGTATTTTTTTGGCCTGACTATTGTTCCTGTCTTGAGTTCCGTCTTTTACCTCGTTTCCCTCCGCTCAGGACTGAGTGCACTCTTCTCCCCAGTTTAGGTAAGTTCGTCCCGGAAATGGAGTCTGTCCAGCTGCGGCTCTTTGGGTTTCCACCTCTATCGGCTGAGAGGGGCTGGATTTGGAGGAATCACCTCCCTATTCTCCCCAGACCAGGATGCAGGAAGCGCTCTGAGCCCTGGCAGAGTGAGTACTATTAGGAAAGGTGTTGTGACTGCGCTGGGGCCAGAGGGCCAAAGTAGACATTTGCCCCCGGGCTACCATGGAGTTTGCTTGGGATGGTCAGTGAACCTACTGAAAAAGTAAGCAGTGATTACAAAGAAGCAGCCTTGCTGCTTCAAGAATAAATTACGCTAGACTAACCTCATTTCCTTTTTAGACTGTGTTAATTATTATTCTAGTAGATTATTCTAGTAGATTGAAATGCTACCAATATGCTACCTAGATTTTAGAAAAGTCAAGACAAAGACTGTTCTTCTGGTCGAGATGGAGAGATGTGAGCTGAAAAGTAGTGCAGTTAGGAAGATTCAGAACTAATAAAGGTGTAATTATTAAATGGTTTAATATAAATTTAGAAGTTCTCTATTTAAAGCTTTCATATGTTTCAGAGTTTCAGGAATTAAGGGATGCAACGACAGGCACAATATTTCTATTTGATACTTAATTTACTTAATTCTATGATAGATACAAATTTCTAAAAGTTCTAGGTAAAATCCTACTTTTCAGTTTTTGGTTTAGCAGGCAAATGGTTTACATGTCTGAATTGCTATTCCCTTTAAGTTACATTGGAGTATTTGTTCTTATCCTCCCTGTCACAAAGGGACTTTACTTTCAGTAAATCACCCTTATGGCTGGGTATGTATACCTATAAGTCACTTCTTAGCAGCTTTTGTCATTTCTCTATGATTAACAGCAATTTTTGTAACTCAGGACTGATATGTGAAGGAAAGAAATTTTCCTGCTGGAATAAGCTATCTCTTGAGCTTTAGGAGTCTCTGATGGATACAAAACTAAGAGAGGCTGTAGCCCTGGGTGTAAAGGCTCTAGTGGGGCAGGAAGGATTGCTTACAATGGAAATGGAGGAGGAGGACCACTGCAGGGAGCAAGAATCCAGCCTGCAAAGAAATAATCCCCAGGAAAGGGAACTCTTCCGCCAACGTTTCCGTCAACTATGCTATCAGGAGACACCAGGCCCCAGAGAGGCCCTGAGTCAACTCCAGATATTTTGCCATGAGTGGTTGAGACCAGAAATGCATACAAAGGAACGGATCCTAGAGCTGCTGGTGTTGGAACAGTTCCTGACCATCCTTCCTGAAGAACTCCATACTTGGGTGCAAGAACATCACCCAGAGAGTGGAGAGGCAGCAGTGATTCTGTTGGAGAATTTGGAAAGAGAGCTTGATGAACCAGATCATGAGGTGGGAAGAGGAAGAGGAGTTCTGCTGTGCAGAGAAGAAGGTATGTAGATCTTCAGGGAGGAAAAATTGGCAGGAAAATTGCTTAGTTTAAATTTCCAGTTGGTTTTATGCCTGTTTCTTCTTTTATGTTTTACCTTCCATTAACCTTAGGAGTTAAATAAAACTCTACTTAGTCCTTTTATCCTTTGTGTCTCAGGAATGTTTAACTCAATAAATGTTTCAAAGCCCCTCTTAGGTGCAAGGAGCTGTTGGAGGAGCTACATATAGAAAGGTAAAAAGAAAAACTGCATAGCCCCTGAATGAATGGATTTCATTCAGTTTACTGGGGCTAAGACATGTACACAAATAAATACGGTATAGGGTAGAATGTGATAAGAAATTTGAGGAGGGAGAGATCATTTTTGGATGAGGTCATTGGATACAGTTTCATGTAACATTGTATTTGCTTTGAAGAAAGAATGACTTTCCTTTTTAAGGCATACTTCTCCTAATTGGCTTTTTGGACCTCTTTTACCATTTGGGTTACGCTATTTTTTAGTGTTGTTTTCTTCAGTATTTTTTTGGGGTCTCCTTTAGCAAGCCTTTGACTCGTTTTTCATGATTTTCTTATATCACTCTCATTTCTCTTCCCAATTTTTCCTCTACTTCTCTTACTTGCTTTTCAAAATCCTTTTTGAGGTTTTCCATGGCCTGGGACTAATTCATATTTTTCTTGGAGGCTTTGGCTGTAGGAGCTTTGACTTTGTTGTCTCCTTCTAGCTGTATGTTTTATCTTCTTTGTCACCAAAGCAAGATTCTATAGTCTGAGTTTTTTTCCTCTGTTTGTTCATGTTCCCAGCCAATTATTGACTTTTAAACTCTTTGTTAAGGTAGGGCTCTGTTTCCAGTGTGGAGAATGTACTGTCCCAAACTTTAGAGGCTTTGTGCAGGTGTTTTCAGAGATACTTCTAGAGACCTGTAAGTTTTCAGTTCTTACAAGGTGCTATGATCTAAGGAGAGGTGTTTACTTCTCTTATCTGCATTCTTTTCTGCCTTTGATCTGTGAGGAGGATTTCCTCTGCACCACCACTATGAGCTCCACCACACCAGTGCTCCTCTTCACCCCAGGACTGCAACCCAGATCTAAGGATGGGCAAAGCAAGAGAATCCTGCCTTAGCATCAGCAAAAGTGTTCTTGCAATCCCCCTCTGATCAGCCCCTCAATCCACCCACTGTCTGTGGACTGACAGCTCCAGAAGCAGCTGCTGCCCCTACAGCCACCCTAGGGCTACATCAGGATGGGGGCAGACCACTTTCTTCTCCCACTCAGATCTTTCCTACTGACCTTCTAAGTTTTCTTTGGCATTTGTGGGTTGAGAAGTCTAGAAACCCTCACAGCTACCTGTGATTCAGTCCCCTGAGGTCTGCTCCAGGTTCACTAAGGCCCAGTCTTTGCACGGCCCACACTGCACTGTGCTCTCCTGGACTGGTACAACAAGAGACCTTTCCCATTAACCTTCCAGGTTGCTTTGGGCTGGAAATTTGTTTCATTTTGTCTTTTTGTAGGTTCTGCTGCTCTAGAATTTGTCTAGAGTCATTTTTTACAAGTATGTGGAAAGGTTTGGGGGAGAGCTCAAGCAAGTCACTGCTTTTACTCTGCCATCTTGGCTCCACCCCAGTACATTCCTTTTCAACTGGAATGGCTAACACTCCTCTCTTCCCTGGAACTGTGACCTGGAAAAAGAGCCCATGCTCTCTCTCTGCCCTGAAACAATAACCAGAGTCCCTACTCCCTTACAACCACAAGTGCTCCTCTCTGCCCTGGATTGGGCCCTGGAATAATGGGCAATGGAGTTGTCAAGCAGTGCTTGGCCCTGAACCCAATGCCAGCTTAAGAAGTTCTCTGTAATTTCTTTCTGACCAGTTATCCAATCCCCCATCATCTCTGAGTGGTGAGAGCTTCCAAACTTTTGCTGCTCTGGCTGCCACCTCCAAGGCCTACAACTGGTGTTGCCCCTGTGCTGCACTCTTGATCATCCCCACAGCAATGTCACAGACCTCTCTTTTCAATCTCCTAATTATCTTGGGCTAGAAAAATTCTGACCTTTTGTTGGCTTTGCCACTTCAGAATTCAATTTTATGTGTTATTTTAAAGCTATTTGGAGGGAGTGTCAGGATAGTTTAGCTTGAATGCTCTCTCTACTCTGGCATCCTGTATTCATCCCTATTTAAAATGTCCAAATTCATATTTATTGTTCTTCTTTGTTTCATCATTACCTGGTTTAGGATTAGGAATATATTTGTCTCATGATGGCTGTCTTGAAACACCAGATTCTTAAACATTATACCCATTGTAAGGTCTCAATCTCTTACAGACTCTCTCTCTCTCTCTCTCTCTCTCTCTCTCTCTCTCTCTCTCTCTCTCTCTCACACACACACACACACACACACACACACACAATGTTTGTAAGTAAAACCCATTCCTACCACTGAATCACCACTGATTCCCCCCTTTCTTTCCCAATATTTCAATACTTCCACCTCTTCATTTTTCCTTATAGCCCATCTACTTCCTGAGAGACTACAAAAATTTTCCTTTCATTGTATGCTATTGACTTAATTAGGGCAGATCACACATTCCCCTCATTCTTCTTCCTCTCTTTTCTTCTTTTCTGCACCCTCCCATTCTGTAGTTTAATTCCATAAAAATACTGTTTCACTTATAGATAGGGTGCTTTAGGCTTGTACTCCATCATCACCTTTGTTTAAGGTATTTCTTCTTTATTTCCTTGTGTCCTTTTAAAAAGAAATCTTTCGATGGTCCCTCTAGAATTATTTGTTGTTGTGGTGGTGGTTGTTTTTAAGCAACATAGATGTCTTTTTCTTTCTGTTTTTTTTTAACTTTGGAGTAATTTACTTCATTATTTGTGCTTTACGTGGTTCCTGTATTTATTCATATTCTGTTTTCATTGTTCAGGATGTTTGTTAAGAAAAAAATCTGTTCATCTGGTTTTTTTTTGTTTTGGGTAGTTTTGTTGTTTTTAGAATTTTATAGTGTACTTCATCTTAAACAAACACAAACATTTCACTGCATAATGACAAGAAACTGCAAACTTTCACGTAGAGAGGTTTTTTTTATGTTATTGTTGAGCTGTTTCAGTGGTGTCTGACTCTTCTTGACCCCATTTGGGTTTTTTTGGCAAACATACTCAAGTGGTTTGCTATGTCCTTCCCCATCTCATTTTACAGATAAGGAACTGAGGCAACCAGGGTCAAGTGACTTTCTCAGGGTCACATAGCTAGTATCTGAGGCCAGCTTTGAACTCAGGAAGCTGAATCTGCCACTCTTATCTACTGTACCACCTACCTGCCCCACTATATTACTATTACTGATTGTTGTCATTGGTCCTCTTTGAGAACAAAGGATAAACAACACCAATCTTCTGTAAGCAGTTAAATGGATAGAGCATTGGAGTCAGAAAGACCTGAGTTTGAATCTGGCCTCAAGACACTTACTACCTGTGTGACCCTGAACTTAACTTTGTTTGCTACAGTTCCTCATCTATAAAATGAGCTGGAGAAGGAAATGGCAAACTCCAGTATCTTTACTAAGAAAACCCCAAATGGGGTCACAAAGAGTCAGACATGACTGAAACAATTGAATAACAACAATAACAACAATATATC